TTTAACCTTTTATATTTGTTAATTTAATTAAACAACCCTCTACAATAAAAGTTTATAGCATACCAACCTATTTATCCTCTAAATTAAATATATTATTAATTTATTTATTTGAACCAATCAAACGTATTTTCTAAATATTCTTAATAATATTTAAAATAATTTTTTATTCTGTTAATATAATATTTTTTCATAATAAAATATTATAATACCCAAATATTTCTTTCAAGTAAACAATATAACGTGGAGTGTCCACTAAGTTGTTCTACTGAAGTCCATGTGCACTGTTTCCAGTGTCCTTGAATTATTGGTCAATGGTGGGACAATGGCCCAATTTTATTAAGAAAGAAAGAATCCACTTTCAAATCACCTCCATCCTTTCCGTAAACATGTGGGATTCCCAAATGAAAAAGAGTAGTATTTCATTACTTTTTAATTCTTAATGGATATATCTTCACAAAGACAAAGTCAAACGCTAAACCAAGGTAAATAAACAGACGAATGATGAGAGTTTGAGAGATAAAGATAATGCTTCATCGATACTGTTTTGGCAGGATGTCAGGTGTTTAATAGTGAGCTGATGTGATGATACATAAATGAATTAACTAGTGAGGCGCTCTCTCTCTCTTCTACTGTGAACAGTATCTACCTGTTCCACTATTCACCCTCCTAAAAAAAAAATATTTGTTAACTTTTTTTTTTTTTTTTTCCTTCTCTTTCTTTTATTTTTGGGTTTTAAGATTTTGGGTAATTCTCCACGCGAGCGAAACCCAAGCCCAACCATTAACAATCTCTCACTTCATACCATTGACAATCTAATCTCCTAACTCCTTCCTTCTCTCATCTCATGACGCACGTCATTAAGATCCCTTAGTTTCTCTTGTGTGTTTTCTCTACAATCTTGAGATGCCCAAAAAAGTAATAATGAAATAAGAACTTTTCTTTCAATTTCTCCTTTTTTTTTTAATTTAATTATGTTTTTTCTTTTGAATCGATTCAAATTCTAGGGATTAGGGAACAGTAAGAATTAAAAATAATTCTAAAAGATTTTATTGGGATATGTATTAAGGAATGTGATGATTTAGATCATTGGCGAACAAATAGCATCGCTCACAACTTCATTTTCCAAGTCACTGCTAAGTAGGTTTTATACCATTATTTCATGTATCAAACTAAAATCCATATTGTTTCACCTGAGACTCAAATTCGCAATAATTAACACAATCAAAATCAACTCAATGACCAGCAAAGATCAATAACACGAGGTTCATCGCTCTAGTCATGCAGTATTCACTGCACATTATGAAGAAAAAAATGAAGGTTTTAAGTACATAATACAAAGAGAAAAGAAGATATTCACTATGAAGTCTGAAGTGCTCTATACATATTATGAGACTGACTTCATTTTCGTTAAAGATCGAATTGGTCAAACAACTCTATAAAGATATTAACCAATCAAAATATAACAGAAATGGAGGAGTTAATTACCTTCATAAAAATGGCATCCCCTCCTTTCGAAACACTCAGAACATATCTTCTCCCAAATGCTCTACACCTACATCACCACAAGCCTTTCGGTCAAGTCATAGACTAATAACATCAATTTATCTACGTCAATGAATTTATGGCGGCATCGATCACATATTTAATTACTATCATGGTCTATTACCTGGATATGAAGGGGCATTAGCTATAACATGAGACAAATCAAAATTAATACCTTTAATGTGAGGATACTTGAAAGTTATAATACCAAGATTAATACTATTTCCACCACGCCCACATCAACTAATGATTTCAAGCCTTCAAATCATTTATAAATATCAATAACTTTCTTCATGATCAAGGTGGTATGGCTAGACATTCCCTCGTTGAATGTCCGACCAAGCCGCTAATCACTCCTGTACTAATCGAATAATTTCATCCCATGTGCCCCGTTAAAATGGTTTCACCTTTTAGTATAGCATTGTTTAAGTGATACCTGATAACCAGTATCTATAATATAAGTTTGAGAAGTGCTAGGGTTATAAAGACAAATACAAATGGGGCATACAAAGACAATTACTACCCTTGATCTTCATGATTTCTCTCTCTCTCTCTTCTTCCGTTCTTTCTTTGTTTTTTTCTTCTCTCTCATGTCACTTTGTAACCCTCTTTGTATAGGTTTTTGTAAGGATTGCATTTTTTTATAAGTTTTCTGATAGAACAAATAGTAGATAGATAGAATAAAACGTGCATAATTCTTTTTTATAACTCAATTATTATGATTATTCCAACTTCAGTTTTCAGCAACTTTTCAAATTTAATAATTTATCTTTTAATTTTGAGCCTAAAGATAAAGAATTGATACAAAAAGAACATAAATGGGGCGATACAATCATGTTTTTAGAGTTATGTGCTATGTGTCACTGCAATTAGCTATATAAAATCTATAGAGTTGATACTATTACATATTATGAGGGTGATTGTTTGAGCTTATAAGCTAGTCAAACTAGTTTATAAGCTTTAAAATTAAGCTAACATGTTTGTTTATAACTTTTTTATCAAACGCGTCAACTACTTATCAGTCAATTATAAGTATTTTAACCAAATACATAACTGCTTAAAATTTCAAATGTTTATAAACTCAAATTAACTTATAAGCACTAACTACTTATAAGCTAATTTTCATAAGCTCAGTCAAACAGACTCTAAATAGCAAAGGGCATTCTGATTTGTGGTTATCAATCTACTGTATAAAGTTGGTTGATATTACACACATTATGTTCCAGATAAAAGATCATTAGTTGATATCAATTGATCACAAGGCGGGACAGTTGATTCAAAGTATAATATAGACAATAACAAAGGACCAACAAACCCTTCATCTCGATTCTGAGTAAGGAACTTGCAAATAGTCAGCAACGTACCCTCTCTCAATTTGACTATTCTCTCCTGTTTTAACATGATAGTTGAGTATATCATAGCTCACCAGGAGCCGTAGCATCTGGTCAAGCATGACAAGTGTGTTGGGGTTCTTGGTGGGGAGTCTACTTGCAATCTCCTAAGGTGAGAGGAAAATGACGCCTTCGCTGGAGGCGAACATGGTGTCTATGATGTTCAGCTTGATGGCTGATTTCAGGACCATTAGATAAACGACAGCATTTGCTAGCCTGATGGCTTCTTCTTCTTGTTGTTGCAACATGTCAGGTGTAGTTTACAAGTGTTCACTACTTATCCATTTACAGTGGGTATTTTATCAAGGGTATTAAAAAAAGAGAAATACTAGTCTTACAAAGATGCATACAAAGAGGGACATACAAAGACAAATCCTACCCTTAATCATCTTTGTGTACCCTTAATCATAATTGTCTTTCTCTCTCTTTCTTTTTCCCTTCTTTCAAGGATTGAATTCATCTTTGTGTACCCTTCTTTGTATGCATCTTTGTAAGTGTAACATTCTTTTTAAAAAAATAAAAATTCATAGCTCTTCTTAATTTTAACCCAACATGTCAAATCAGGGTTTGTATTGTTGCAGTCAGGTACTCAAACTAATCTAACGGGCCAGAAATACATTGTTAGTCGATACTCGATAGCTTTTCGTATGAATGTGCCTACAGTTCAGTACTTGCTTCACGTAACTCCCCAGATCATCAAAATCTGTAAATATTTCCCCAACTTACAAAAAATCTGTTAACACGCTACTATAGTCAAATTTATCCTCGCTACGTACATTGTGTTCTTCTAAATGGGTGACGTCTAACATTTCCAGTCCCATCCTCAAGGTTTGGCGAAATGATGATCTCTCCTTCTTCCTCAAATCTTTTACTGAATAAATAAGGAAATTTTTTTTTTTAATATGTTTAATGTGAAAGAAATTTAAGTGTTGTTAAGAAAATTCGCAACAATAAAAAAGATTCGATTGACTTTTGTAAGATCGAATCAAGTGGGTGCATGATTAACGATAAATCAGCAAATGGAAATGAACTAATAGTAAACAAGAAATACATGGGCTGAAAATAATAAAGAACAATGTAGAAGTTTTCAAGAGGTACGGCGGGTAAGTGCCCAAGCCTACGTTTTTCACTATTTTATTGTTTGGTGTTCTCTTTACACTTAGGACAATTACAAAGATAGAAAGTGAGAAATGGGTTCACAGCGAGGTGCACTTTCGGGTTACTCTTTTACTTTTTCTCTCTAAGCTGACTTATATCTTGTGTGAATGTGTTTTGCTGAATGAATCCCCCCTTTGAAATGGAAATGGTTCCCCTTTACATATTTTCGTTGACAATGGTTGAGAGTTGGTAATTAATAGATTCCCTTTTAATCTGGATTTGTGTCAGGTGTGTGATGCCGAGGGCAATCAAACACTGTACTTGGATCAGTCAATCTGGATGGAGAAGTTTGTGGTTAGGATGATGCCACATGGGTAGATCCTGGCTGTTGGATTTGAGAGTAGTTGGTGGACAGATGGCATGCATCCAAGGGCTTAGAGATTCAACGCACAACATTAAGTTTGGTATATTGACTTAAATTGCAGCAAATTTACTCTTGGAGTTGGGGACATAATAGAGTCAACTGCTATCACTTACGCCAGATCCCCAAATTCCAACTTACGACATATATAGTTTTACAAAAACTCTTTCGACTGTATTTTTACAATATAACAAAACATTTTTTCTAATTAATTCTCATGTTTAATTTCATATAGAATTATAACACAAAAACAAAACAAAAAGTTATATCTGAACATGAGATAAACTGAAGAGTATTACGGCTTTAAGAGTTTTAGATCGAATTTTTAAAGAGATTGGATACTCTTTAATTAAAATATAATAAATTTATCAATTAATTTTGTCAATGAATTTTATTAAATGTGCCACGAAATAGTTTGTCTAATTTAACCGGAAAAAAAAAAAAAAAAAAAAAACTACCAACACACGCCTTTTTTATTGCTTAACAAAGGAGACACGTACATATAGATATGGTAATTAATATTACATTTATTGTAAAAAACACACACTCACAGACACAGGGATTAATCTCTTATTTTTATTACTTAACAATGAACTCCCTGGAATTCAAACCTTTATTATTACTGGTCATTAACATGAGCCAGAAAAAGAGAGAACACCTTGTTTTCATTGTTGAGAAGGCTTCAGAATGTGCTCATTTACGGAACTCCAAAACCCAGCTGGTGTATACAGGGCATATGACTTGACACTTGGAAAATCCGGATTTCAGAGCTAATGCCTCAAACTCTTTAAGTGTCCTCTCTCTTCCTCCTGGGTGCACAACCATCATTAACAGATCTAGCTCGCACGCAATGTTTGATGAAACAGTATTTTCAGGAATCTCAGGAACAATCAATTCTGTAATGATTACTTTCCCAGACTTTGGAAGAGCTTCAAAGCATTTTTTGAGAATTTTCACGCAATCTTCATCACCCCAATCATGTAGAACCGTCTGCAATTAAGTTTCATATATATATATATATAAACAAATTAAAACAACTACACACTCGCTTATATGTGAAGAATAAACTATTTACGCACGTACCTTCAAGCAAATGGCGTCGCCTTTTGGAACTTTTTTGAACATATCTCCACCAACATGCTCAACACCTACATCCATCACCAAAAACATCATATTATCATCTGATAAGCAAATAAATAAAGCTTTTGAGTCGTTCCATCTTAGTTGATCTAGCAATGATAAGATGAAAAATTTGAAGGTAGTTACATTTGATATCAATTCAACATTTTTCATCGTTGATGAATCAACAAAGATGAATAGTTCACTGGAAAGTCAAAAAATAACTTACGTAGCAATATCCTGACCCATAAATAAATATAAGAAATGCAGTTATATAAGTAGGATTACGAATATATATACCTGTTATTGGAGGTGCATGAGCTACGACATGAGGCAAATCAAAATTAATGCCTTTAATGTGAGGATGCTTAGAAGTGATGGTACCAAGATTAGCTCCAATTCCACCACCCACATCTACTAACACTTTGAGGCCTTCATTTTGAAATCCTTTGTAAACATCAACCATCTTCTTCATTATCAAGGTTGTGTAGTCTGACATTGCTTTGTTGAAGAACTGGCCATGGTTTGGGTCCCTTTCTATATATTCAAATGCAGATCTCAGTCCATATGCCCTACTGAAGGGGGTTCCACCTTCTAGGATACTATCACTTAGGTGATGCCTGACAAGAAATTAAATTGCAGAAAATTTAACTCAACTCTCAAACAAAACTTACAATAATTAAATTCCAGATCTCAAAAGTGAAAAGTACCAGCCCTCCATGGCGGCCTTGTCGTGGTGCAACTGCAACAAACTAGCAACTGACCCTCCATCTTCATTCTTAACAAAGAACTTGCAAATGGGTGCAGCAGCGTACAATCTTTCAACTTGTCCATTCTCTCCGGTTCTAACCTTGCATTTGAGTATATCATGGCTGGCCAAGAGCCGTAGCATACGATCAAGCAAGACGGGTGCCTCGGGGTTCTTGGTGGGAAGCCGACTTGCAATGTCGGAACGTGAGAGGAAAACGCCGTCACCGGAGCCGGAGATTATGTCTATGAGGTTGAGCTCGATGGCTGACTTCATGACCATGGGAAGAACCGCGGCGTTTGCTAACCTGATGGCTAGCTTGTCCACTTCTTGTTCTTGCGACATGGCCTTTATAAGTTTGAAGATAAATTGAAATCTCTGCACTTACTTCCACTTCACATCGTAAATTAACATCGATCTAAGTTGATAGTTATAGTACATGCATGCAAACATCATAGGTAATTTATTCAATAAACCAAATAACACGTCGTTGAATTTAATATTTCTATTTTGAAATCTTTTATAGTCTGAACTTAGATGCAGCAAGAATCTATTGTCTACATAGACTAATTTACAAGCATTGAAGATCCTATCGAGACAAATCAATACACAGTGCGTCACATGATTTAACTATTCAAAAGATAGAAAGCGAAGAAAAAAGAAATTTGGAAAGTAGTAACGCAAGTCTCCACATCATAAAGACAGACTTTGTCATGCCCTTTCGGCTTCTGTAAGAGTTACACCTTGGTGATGCGTGATTTTAATACCAACTAATCAATGCGTAACATTGATTAGTCAAGATACATACGTGATTATGGATAGAATGTAGAATAAATGTAATGAGAGCTTTTTAAAGTGGTTCGGATACTAAGGTGCAAGTCCTACGTCCACTAATCTATATTAGTATTGTAGGTCAGGTCGCAACAGCAGACTGACCTACAAATGATTAGGGAAAAAATAAATACAGAGTTTACAAGAGAGAGAGAGAGAGAGAGAGAGAGAGAGAGAGTTAGTTCAGAGTGCAAAAATAGCCGAATCCCCTTAATGAAGGGGTCTCACTCTTTTTATAGCGAGATGAATACAAGTAATCATCATTAAATCCATGGGTTGGTGTGAATGCTAGGACTAAATCCGGCTTTATGTCACATTACCCTCCTTCCAAGCTGATTTCACGCGATTTGGAGCAGGGAGTGGACACGTGGGAGCTCCACGGCGTCTTGCAGGTGTGACATCCACTTACCGTTCTGACGGGAGTAGGTCACACTTCATCACGTGATTTCCCACGTCAGCCCTTGATTTCCCAGGCATAACACACCCCTTAATATTCTTCAGCACGCCTGGGTTTATATTTGGGCTTCAACAGTTCAAGCAAACATCTTCGACATGTTCACAAGATATTCCATCATTCACCCAACACACATCATGCCGTATTCTCTTCCCATACTCAACTTCTTTTTTAAATTTAAAATAGTTCAATTGACTTTTTTTTCTCACTTGAGAATTCTATCCTGTAATTTCCTCTCCAGACCGTTAACTCTCTACTCCTCTCACCTACACCATTGACAACCTCTCACTTCATACCATTGACAATCTAATCTCCCAGCTCTTTTCTTTCAGTCATCTCACGTCATTAAGATCCCTAAGTTTCTCTTGCGTACTTGCAAAAAAAGTAATAATAATAGAGAATTTTGGTGGATTTGTGAGGGACCGGAAAGGTGATGATCTANCAGTGGTTGTTTTCTTCTAGGTATGTGGTTGAAATGTGATGGTGGTTTTGCGGTGACAGAGAATAATTGGTTGTGTGTGTTTGGTGAGAAGAGTTGCTTGGTTGGTGTTTGGGTTGATGGCAGATTGATTGTTTGGTTGGAGATGGCTGGAGTTGAAAGGTTGGATTAGTTTCCGATGGGAATTTTTTTCTGGGTACTTGTTGTTTGCTACGGCCAGGATTGGTGGTTGGGCTTGACTGAGTTTAGTGTTTGGGTTGACGACAGCTGGAGGGATGATACTGGCCGGTAAATTTTCCGATGGTTGCTCTGTGATGAGCAATTATTTAGATCAGAGAGCTTGGCTCTAATACCATGTTTGCATGAAGAATTACAACTCTTTTTAATTCATATATATTTATACTCATGATTACATGTTTTTATAGATAAAATATACTTTACGTAATCTCTTAATTATGTCAATATAATATATTGATATAATTATATAATTAAAAAATTATAGGCTATCAAATACATTATGAATATCCTAAAACTAACATAATTGAGAGATTATGATATATTCTTGAAATATTCAATAAATCTCAACATATATCATCTCTCTCTCTACTGAATAGCTCGTACTTCGTGTGATTGTTAAGTGAGTTTGTGTTTGCTTCTAGAAGCAACATGTTTAGTTGATGGTTTAAAGGAAATTTTAATAACTTCCATGTTTAGTATCTTATAAGAAATAAATGTATGAAATGTAAGGTTATTGTTTCATTTTCTAAGCGCGTCGCTTGCAAGGTTTTATTTAATGAAACAAAACAGAATTTTTAAAATCAACACCCTAGAATTCTAACATCACACACTTTAGAGTGATGTTTATTGCTGATCACCAACGTGAGCCAAAAAGAGAAATAATATATGGTGCTAAAGACTGGGACTTGTGTTCATTACCTAGAACGTTTGGCAATCTTTATAGTTAGGGCAATTACAAAGATAGTAAGTGACAAATGGGTTCACAACGAGGTGAACTTTCCGGCTACTCTTTTACTTTTCTCTCTAATTTGACTTCTATCTTGTGTGAATGTGTTAAGAGTTGGTAATTAATAGAGCCCCTTTTAATCTGGATTGGTGTCAGGTGTGTGATGCCTAGGACAATTAATCAAACACTGTACTTGGATCAGTCAATCTGGATAGAGAAGTTTGTGGTTACGGTGGTGCCACATGGGTGGATCCTGGCTGTTGGATTTGAGAGTAGTTGGTGGCAGATGGCATGCAGCCAAGGGCTAAGAGATTCACCGCACGGCATTAAGTTTGGTATATTGACTTAAATTGCAGAAAATTTACTCTTGGGGTTCATTATACTTGGAGTTGGAGACATAATAGAGTCAACTGATCCCGTAATTCCAACGTACGACATATATAGTTTTACAAAAACTCTTTCGACTGTATTTTTACAATATAATAAAACATTTTTTTCTAATTAATTCTCCTGTTAAATTTCATATATAATTGTAACACAAAAATAAAACAAAAAGTTATATCTGAAGCATTGTGGCTTTAAGAGTTTTACATGAAATTTTTAAAGAGATTGGATACTTTTTAAATAAAATATAATAAATTTATCAATCAATTTTGTCAATGAATTTTATTAAATGTGCCACGAAATAGTTTGTCTAATTTAACCGGAAAAAAAAAGAAACAAAAAAACTACCAACACATGCCTTTTTTATTGCTTAACAAAGGAGACACGTACATATAGATATGGTAATTAATATTACATATATTGTAAAAAACACACTCACAGACACAGGGATTAACCTCTTATTTTTATTACTTAACAATGAACTCCCTGGAATTCAAACCTCTATTATTATTCGTCACTAACATGAGCCAGAAAAAGAGAGAACACTTTGTTTTCATTATTGAGAAGGCTTCAGAATGTGCTCATTTACGGAACTCCAAAACCGAGCTATTGTATACAGGGCATATGACTTCACACTTGGAAAATCCGGATTTCAGAGCTAATACCTCAAACTCTTTAAGTGTCCTCTCTCTTCCTCCTGGGTGCACAACCATNAATGCGTTACGGCACAGATCCGATCGGTCTGTGCCGTAACGAAATTTTTCGGCCAGATTCCGACAGTGGCGGCCGGAATCTGACACTGCAGGTGGTGGGGGTGTTTTTGTCATTTTATATAGTAGGGTCTTTAATTAAATTAGTAGACCTATGGGCTTTTTCATAAATTTTTCAAATTTACCTCGTAATACTCCCCTATCCAACAATCCAATATTATCCTCAAAATCCTATCCAAAATACTACACCAAACGCACCCATAGATTCCCAAAAAAAGAATTAGAATCGAAATTGTATAGTATAGTACAGGTTCTTAAATTCAAAGAACTAGAACCTAAAATGCAAGTTCCGGTTCCTTTCTCGGGTATCCTATAAAAAATCAATTACCCCTTATTAGTTTAAAAAATTATAAAAATACCTTAAAAGTTTATAAATACATTCCTAAAAAATTTTGATTACTCATTCATTTGTGTCCAATGTAATTCATAAATCCTCTAATCTTTAGGCAATACTTGAATTCAATCAATTTATTACAATTTATATAAAATTTCTCAATCAAAACCAAGACACAAACAATTATTCATCTATAAATTGTTAATTTAATGTTATAAATTGTTAATATTTATAATGTAATATAATAATATTGTAATTAATTAAGTAATTATTTAATTATAATATAATATTATAATTAATTAAATAAACATACTATATATGTATAATGTAATGTTATACTTCCTCTGTTTTTTTTTTTTTTTTAAAGTTGTTTTAAGGGTATAGTTTTTTTCCAAATTAAATGTCGTTGTTCTGTCTTGTCTGTCTCCCTTCTCCACTTTTCGTCTGTCTCCCTTCAATATTTTTCCTTTATTGACTGAGACTAATTAAATATGTTGGGTGGGAGAGAGAAGAAATGTTTTGATTAAAAGTCATATACACCCTTAAAACGACTTTTAAAAAAAAATAGAGAGGGTAATTAATTAAGTAATCATACTATAAATTTATAATATAATGTTACAATTAATTAGATTTTTTAACCATTTAATTAAGTAATGTACTAATGACTAATGTAGTAAATTAATAATGTTTATAATGTAATATTATAAATTTATAACTAATTAAGTAATCTTTTAACTATGTAATGATATAATTAATTAAGTGATCATAATATAATATANACTTGCAATGTCGGAACGTGAGAGGAAAACGCCGTCACCGGAGCCGGAGATTATGTCTATGAGGTTGAGCTCGATGGCTGACTTCATGACCATGGGAAGAACCGCGGCGTTTGCTAACCTGATGGCTAGCTTGTCCAGTTCTTGTCCTTGCGACATGGCCTTTATAAGTTTGAAGATAAATTGAAATCTCTGCACTTACTTATTTTTTCCACTTTACATTGTAAATTAACATCGATCTAAGTTGATATTTATAGTACATGCATGCAAACATCATAGGCAATTTATTCAAAAAACCAAATAACACGTCGTTGAATTTAATATTTCTATTTTGAAATCTTTTATAGTCTGAACTTAGATGCAGCAAGAATCTATTGTCTACATAGACTAATTTACAAGCATTGAAGATCCTATCGAGACGAATCAATACACAGTGCGTCACATGATTTAACTATTCAAAAGATAGAAAGCGAAGAAAAAAGAAATTTGGAAAGTAATAACGCAAGTCTCCACATCATCAAGACAGACTTTGTCATGCCCTTTCGGCTTCTGTAAGAGTTACACTCCTTAATATTTTTCAGCCCGACTGGGTTTATATTTGGGCTTCAACAGTTCAAGCAAGCATCTTTGACATGTTCACAAGATATTCCATCATTCACCTAACACACATCATGCCGTATTCTCTTCCCACACTCCAACTTCTTTTTTAAATTTAAAATAGTTCAATTGACTTTTTTTTCTCACTTGAGAATTCTATCCTGTAATTTCCTCTCCAGACCGTTAACTCTCTATTCCTCTCACCTACACCATTGACAACCTCTCACTTCATACCATTGACAATCTAACCTCCCAGCTCTTTTCTTTCAGTCATCTCACGTCATTAAGATCCCTTAGTTTCTCTTGCGTACTTGCTAAAAAAGTAATAATAGAATTTTGGTGGATTTGTGAGGGACCGGAAAGGAGATGATCTAACAATTATATATCCTCTCTCTACTAAATAGCTCGTAGTTCGTGTGATTGTTAAGTAAGTTTGTGTTTGCTTCTGAGAAGCGACATGTTTAGTTGATGGTTCAAAGGGAATTTTAATATGTTCCATGTTTAGTATCTTACAAGAAATAAATGTATGAAATGTAAGGTTACTGCTTCATTCCCCAAGCGCATCGCCTCTAAGGTTTTATTTAATGAAACAAAACAGAATTTTTAAAATGAACACCTAGAATTCTAACATCACACACTTCACAGTGACCTTTATTGCTGATCACCAACGTGAGCCAGAAAAAGAAATACCACATGGTACTAAAGACTGGGACTTGTGTTCATCACCTAGAACGTTTGGAAATCTTCTCATTTGTTGAACTTCAAAACCCATACAGCTGCTGTATACGGAGCATATGACTTCACAGCTGGAAAATCCGGATTTTATGATCAGGATAGTGGAGTTTTACATAGCCTGATTGAACACCCGGTTGAACCTT